GCCCATCGATGATAGACTGGACAGGGAAAATGTGGTACATATACACCATGGAATATTATGCAGCCATCAAAAATGATGAATTCGTGTCCTTTGTAGGGACATGGATGAACCTGGAAACCATCATTCTCAGCAAACTGACACAAGAGCAGGAAATCAAACACCGCATGTTCTCACTCATAGGCGGGTGGTGAACAATGAGAACACATGGACACAGGGAGGGGAGCACTACACACTGGGGTCTGTTGGGGGGAAATGGGGGAGGGATGGGGGCTGGGGAGGTGGGGAGAGATGGCATGGGGAGAAATGCCAGATATAGGTGAAGGGAGGAAGGCAGCAAATCACACTGCCTTGTGTGTACCTATGCAACAATCTTGCATGTTCTTCACATGTACCCCAAAACCTAAAATGCAATTAAAAAAAAAAGAGTCAGGACATCATTATGAATTAACAAGATTCATCTATTGATAATTGTTTTCCTCTTTCTTTCCTTCTCTCTCTCTCTCTCTCTTTTTCTTTCTTCCATAAGCAGAGCTGCTTGGGGCCAATGCCTTCTCCCTCCCTTCCTTTCCCACCCAGTCCCCTCTGCTCTTCTGAGTCCATTGGTGGCTGCAGTGGGCAGTGCCCAGCACAGGAACAGCTTCCCACCCCAGTATGGGGGGCCCACTCTCTGCTTTTCTGCAGGAACTTTTCTCTAGTTCAAGAAGTTTTGGTATCCATTCTATGTGTGTGTGCTCAGGGAAGCCTGGAAGACCAGGAACTTCCTCATCTCAGGGGCAGCCCTCAGACAATGAGGACTTAATTTCTCTCTGTGGAGGCAATTCTGAGAAGCTTCTGCTTGATTCCCCAGCCAGACTGAGCCCTGATGGTCCCTGGGGGAAAACTGTTTATTTATAGACCACTGGTTGACCTTTCTCTCTATCCCTTCTCATTTCCCTCACTTTCTCACTGGTGCTTACTGAGTGAGATAACCTCAAAAAACTATGGCACTCGAGCTGTCTTGGGGCTGCTTTGAGGAAAAAAAAAGTTTTGGCCGGGCGCGGTGGCTCAAGCCTGTAATCCCAGCACTTTGGGAGGCCGAGGCAGGTGGATCACGAGGTCAAGAGATCAAGACCATCCTGGTCAACATGGTGAAACCCCGTCTCTACTAAAAATACAAAAAATTAGCTGGGCATGGTGGCGCGTGCCTGTAATCCCAGCAACTCAGGAGGCTGGGGCAGGAGAATTGCCTGAACCCAGGAGGCGGATGCTGCGGTGAGCCGAGATAGCGCCATTGCACTCCAGCCTGGGTAACAAGAGGGAAACTCCGTCTCAAAAAAAAAAAAAAA